ACACACACGGGCACACACAGGCACATGCACACACAAATACACACAAACACATGCACACACCACACTCGTGCACACACATCACACACACACACTCATACACACACGCGCGCGCGCCCACACACACACACACGGGCACACACAGGCACATGCACACATAAATACACACAAACACATGCACACACCACACTCGTGCACCCACAACACACACACACACTCATACACACACGCGCGCGCGCCCACACACACACACACGGGCACACACAGGCACATGCACACATAAATACACACAAACACACACACACACCACACACACACACACACGCACACACACACATATACACACACACACCACCATCACCACCTTTTCAGCCCCAGTCACCTTGCCCTCACAGTCCCCAGGCTGGACATTGATGAGCAGGGAGTTGGCCACTAGGAGCCCTTGATGAGAGTAGTAGGCCACAACGTAGAAGGAAGGTGCCAGGTGATGTTCCACCAACACGGAGATGGAGGTCAGGGTCCTCCTGGCCTCCCGATTCATGGTCACGATCTGGCCCCGGGAGACGATCTGAGCCAAGGAGGAGCAGTGAGTGGTTTCCTGAGCCTGTGCCTAGCCCTGCAGAGGCCTTTGCCCTACAGCCAACACGCCTACACCCTGAGTCCCACACACCATGTAGTAGTAATGAGAGAACGTAACCCCTTGGGGCACAGTCCGAAGGTTCAGGGTGAGGGTGTCCCCCACACGAGGGGGCCGATGGTCCAGCGGCTCAATGGACAGAAAGCCAGAGCTTCGTGGAGGTGGGGCTCGCACGGTGAGCTGGGCTTTGGCTGGATAGGGGGAGCCGGCAGATACCTGGAGAGAAGGGCAAGGAAGGGCAGGGTCTAGACCAAGGAGCCATATTTGCCACCCCTCCTCCCAAACCCAGCCAGGAGCACTCAGGAAACAACCCCTTCCCCCACTCCCATCCCCAGGGCTCGGAGGAGCACTACCGAGAGCCGAAGCTCTGTGGTGGCTGGTGGGACGTAGATGGAAATGCTGACTTGGCCAATCCCGTTGGTGTTCTGTTGAAAGTCGAGGACTTTCGAGTCAGAGGACAATGTGGCAGAAACTTTGACAGGAACGTCAGAGGCTAAGGAGCCTGCCATTTCTCGGACCACGGCCTGGAGGAGCGTCGGTGAAAAAGGCATCAAGACTGCAGCCCACACCCTCTCCCCTCCAGTCCTGCCCTTCCAAGAAGAACCTGCAGCAGGAAGGGGGCTCCAGGCACTAGATGCTGCTTGGTGTTACTGAGATCCAAGGAGAAGGGAGATGACACAAAGCGCCAGGATGTGAGCTCCGCCTCCTCCATCTCTCCCCCTGCAAGACAGAGGGCAAGGAGGTGGAACCCAGGACAAGAGACCCAAGAGTCAGAGTTGGGAAATGGCTGGAGCATCACTTCATCTCCACGTGTGTGTAGCGTGTCTATCGGGTAGCGCGGGAACAGATGAGTGGTGCAAAACGATTAAATAAAGGGAGATGGGGAAATGGACAGGACCAGAGAGACAGTCTGGGGTTTTCCTTGTTTGTGTGCCTGGGGTGAGCAGGCAGACAGCACAAGTTGTACCAGGGATGCAGAGCTAGGCTGATGGTGTTGTCTGCATTTCAAATGTCCCCCAGTGTCCTCAGGGGCAAGGAGTTGAGGTGACAGCGAGGAAAGCCACCCACCTGGAGACTCGATGACGGCTGCAGCGGCATAGAGGTGCAGCCCCTCCAGGTCTCCGACCCCCATGTTGACTTTATCCAGGGCAGCCTGGAACTTGTCCTTTGAGATGGAAACTTGACACTGGCCTTCCACCAACTAAGACAAGGAAAACAGGATGTAAGTGAGGAGTCCCCTCTTCTGCTCAGTCCCCTCCCCTCCTTCACCACGTTCCTACCTTGGTCTGGGTCTCCAGACCGCGAAGGAAGGTTCTCTCCCCATGCTCATCCATGAGTGCAAAGCGTGTGTAAGCCACGCCCTGCACGGGCTTCCCGTAGACATACCTGTGGCCACAGGGAGATTGGAAGAGAGCCAAGAGCTGGGGAAATAACTCATCAGGCAAGGTATTTACCACACAAGCACAAAGACCTCGTTCCGCACCCCAGAGGCCATGTAAAATGCCGCCTGTGGCAGCATCCACTTTAATTCCAACGGTGGGAAAGTAGAGGCAGGGGAATTCTTGGGCTGCCTGGCCAGCCAGCCTAGCCCAATTAAGTGAGTTCCATGCCAATGAGAGACCATGTCTCGAAGGAGATGGATAGAGTTCCTAAGGATGCCCCTGAGGTTGTTCCCTGGCCTCCACAAACATGTACACACACACCCCTGCACACATAGACACACACATGCACTCAAGAGGTGGAGAGGAGAGGAGAGGAGAGGAGAGGAGAGGAGAGAAGAGAGCCAAGGGTGGAAGAAGCTTTGCACAGTGCGCCCTGGGTGCAGACGATGGTGGGTACCTGGCCTGGATGTCTAGCTGTATTTCATCCAGGGAGCTGGGCACCGTCAGGATATATGGCTTCCATGGGGTGATCTTCACTTCAAAGTTGGGAAGAACTGAGTAGCATAAAGAGATGAGCGCGGTACTAGAGAAAGAGTCCTCCAAATCTCCCTCCCCCAGGGCTGCCCTGCCTCACACCCTGGTCTCAACCCCTGGCTTCAGCACTCACCGTATTTCTTCACTTCAAAGTGGGTGCTGCTATTGGACTGTGGGCTGTCTGAGAACCTCCCTGAGATCTTCCAGGTCCCTGGCCTGAGAATGAACAAGAGAGACAGCTGGGCTACCCACCCACAGACAGCCCATGGCCTGAATCCCCCAGAAGAGGCTTGGGGGACACAGGGCCAGAGCATCTGGAATGTGACCCTGCGTATCAGAGGTGGGCATGCCAAGGGAATCAGGACTTGGGGTGGTGTAGACAGGGGGTGCCCTGAGGCGAGGAGGCTTACTCTGAGATGTCTGGGATTATGAAGCTGTCTTGGAAGATGGACGTGGGAACAAATACCTCCTTCTTCCGTACACGAAGGCCATCAGAGTTCTGCAAGGAGAGTCAGTGTGGTCAGGTGGGAGATTGCATCAGTGCACAGGATCAGGAAGGTCAGAGGTCAGGCACTCACCTCCACCGTGACTGTGAGGGTGTCCGTGGATGGGCGCATCTTGTGATCCAGTGCAAAGACCCGGTAACGAACTAAGAGTGGAGGGTGAGAGGTTAGAGCCCCTGGGCAAAGGGACAGGGGACAACTGCGGGGAGACAGTGGGTCTAAACGGCTGCTGTCCATGGAGTCACAGAGGACACCTTACACAGAGGGCATCAAACATGCTCTGAGCAGCCTGGGAGAGAGGCAAAGCAGAGGCCCTGGGGCCAGGGGCTCACCCCGCTGGCCAGGGTTATAAATTGGCTGGTCAGTCTGCACAAAGATGTGTCCACGGCGAGCAGAGAACAGCAGGTTGACTCCTTGAGTGTCTGTGGCTTTGGACATTACATTCTTCAGCCACGGAGACTGAACCACCAGCTGGACATGGGGGGCTCTGCGCAGGTTAAAGAGACCACAGTCCCTCACATTTTCCAGTGGAACCTGTCAGGAGATGCAGGAGAGGCTGCCTAAGAAGAAAGGGACAGAGCCCAAGATAGGGACACCAAGACCCTGGAAGAGAGGAGGAAGTCAGAAAGATAGGGCTTGAGAAGCAACAGAAAGGCCAGCCATGATGGCGCATGGCAGTAACCCCAACACTTTGAGGCCAGAGGAAGGCTGCTGAGCATTTACAGGCAACCTAGATTATTCCATGAAGCCCTCTTTCAAAACCAAAAGTAAACATAAAGGCAACGGAGGAACCAGGTAAATCTCAGCACTCAGGAGGCTGAGGCAGGAGGATTGCCATGAGTTCAAAGCCAGCCTATTGCATAGGAAGCTCCTGTCTGTAACTAAACAGGCAATGGGGTGCAACAGGAAGGCCTGAGACGCAGCAGGGGTGTGGGCGCTGGTTACCTTGAGGTTGAGAAGTACAAAATCATTTCCTGAGCTGAGGGTAAAATCCGTCTTTGGGGAGCAAGGGCCGCCGTTTGGGTTTCTCAGGAGCACGGATCCTTTTACTTGCTGTTCTGGAGGGGCATCCTGGAGCTGCAGCCCCACTGACAGAGGGACCCCCAAATTAACCACTGAGGGGGAGAACAGGAGCAGCCTGGGAGGACAGTGAAGGTGCTTCAGACCCAGCCTCACCCCACCACCCCTCTCCCTCACCCCGCCCCACCCAAGCCCAGTGTCTTGCCCCAGGACCTGGGCTTCTGCAGGGACAAGGCAAAGACACTGAACATCCAGAGCAGCCCCCAGAGGAGCCGCATGGCTGCAGGGTCCAGCGGAGGTCAGACCTGTCTGGTCTGACGTCTGCTCCCTTCTGGTCACCCTATGTTTGGGGCAGTTTGACTCTGGACCTTGCTCCTCCCTCACCCAGATGAGCCGGGAAACCACGTGATGGCCAAGAAACGCAACTGGCCCTAGGCCCAGTGCTGGGGAAGCGGCCCAACACCAGGGTCTCTGAAGAAATCTTGGCCCCAAAATGAATCTTTGTGCTTGTTTATCCCCAGTACCAGGCACCTCCCTTAACTCTGTGTGTCTGTGCGTGCGTGTGTGCGTGTGTGCGTGTGTGCGTGTGTGCGTGTGTGCGTGTGTGTGTGTGTGTGTGTGTATGTGTGCGTGCGTGCGCACATGTGCTCGCCCGTGTGTGCGTTCCTACAGCTCCAACATGGCACATGGACAGGGCAGTTGAAGTTCCTAACAGGAATGGCTTCAGAGACCCTTGCCTCTTACATTCCAGACAGACTCAACTGCAGTCTTCTGCTTGGTACAGGCTCTAACAGAAAGCCTGTGGTTCAGAAGATGGGCACACCCTCACCCCCATGGGGAAAATGGCCTGAGTAACCTTGTTCTCACTCTGAAGTAGCCACAGACACCTGCACACATATCACTCTAAACAAAGGACACCGAGAAGACTGCATAGACACAAGTATTTTATTTGGCAATTTCAACCTGACACAGAGGGCAGAGTTCCCTGCTCCCTCCGACAGCAACCCCAGCGATCAATCCCACCTTCCTATCCCCTCGGCACGGCTCCTGGCTTCACACCCACAGAAGCCCAGAGCTGCAGCGCACACAGCGCAGCTCAGGCTGGAGCCCCAGCTTGCAGCAGCAGGGCCTGGCACCCATCCCGGTGACCCGCTCAGCCGTCCAGGGGCAGCGCTTCCAGGAACCTCACTCTGTGAGCTGAAGAGTCCAGGAGTCGACTCCTCACGTATCTGGCAGGCGAAGGAGGGTTCCAGAGCTGGTGGGCACACTGTCAGAGAGAGATGAGGCTGGAGCCAGCCGCCTAGAACTGAGCACAGGGTGCTCCCGAGCCCCAGAAAAGAGGAGAGGAAGTGGGCTTCACCAGGGAATGAAGCGTGACCTGGGGGACGCCCAACCTTGGGTCATGGCATTTTCCTGAGATTCAGGGCTGGACTCACCAGTCCACCAGCTGGGCTCCAATGAGGTCATGCACGTGGTAGGCAAGGCCGAGCCTCACTGCCGACGGGGACCTTCGCCCCAGGAGCTCTGACAGGAGAAGCTCCCTGTACTTGGCCCTCCGCAGCATGCTGAGTAGAGCCTGGCGCCCTGGAGATGTGGCCCAGGAAAAGGAAGAGGTGAGCTGGGTGTGGAGACCTAAAGCTGCCCAAAGGACGTTCCTGTAGGCACCACACCTTTGACAAAGAACTTGATGAATCTCCCAGCTCCAGGCACGGCCAGCCACCAGCTCCCAGCATCTCGGACAGTGAGGACTCCAGCGTTCACCAGGTGCCTGCAGGTGGTGGGAGGCCAGGACGATGCAGCCAGAGCTCTGAGAACTGCATCCCGCCCCCCAAAACTGCTGATGTTTGGACACTAAGTGTCCAGCAACACAGGCAACCAAGGCAGAAACCAATGACCTTACTGGCTCCACCATCCCTGCCTGAGCATCCTCGCACTTTTTTCCCTGTAACCTCGGTGTGTGTGGTGAGTGTGTGTGTGTGTGTGTATATGTGTGGTGTGTATGTGTATGTGTGTATGGTGTGTGTGTGGTTGAGTGTGGTGTGTGGTGAGTGTGGTGTGTGTGGTGTGTATGTGTGTATGGTGTGTGTGTGTGTGGTGAGTGTGTGTGTGGTGTGTATGTGTGTATGGTGTGTGTGTGTGTGTGGTGCGTGTGTGTGTGTGGTGAGTGTGTGTGTGGTGAGTGTGTGTGTGGTGTGTGTGGTGTGTATGTGTGTATGGTGTGTGTGTGTGTGGTGAGTGTGTGTGTGGTGTGTGTGGTGTGTATGTGTGTATGGTGTGTGTGTGGTGAGTGTGGTGTGTGTGGTGTGTGTGTGTGTGGTGCGTGTGTGTGTGTGGTGCGTGTGTGTGGTGAGTGTGGTGTGTGTGGTGTGTATGTGTGTATGGTGTGTGTGTGTGTGGTGAGTTTGTGTGTGATGAGTGTGGTGTGTATGGTGTGTGTGTGTGAGTGTGTGTGGTGAGTGTGGTGTGTGTGGTGTGTGGGTGTGTGTGTGTGCAGACACACAATCACAGAGGCCACAGGTATACATCACATATGTGCAATCACTCTCAACCTTTTTATTGCATGTTATAGGTGTTTTGACTACATGTATGTCTGTACACCACATGCATGGTCTGTGGAGGCCAGAAGAGGGTATTGGATCCCCTGAGATTGGAGTTACAGATAGTTGTGAGCCATTTTGTGGGTGCTGTGAATCAAACTCCAGGTCCTCTGGAAGAGCAGCCAGTGCTCTTAACCATTGAGTCATCTCTCCAATCCCATTCCTCCTCCTTTTTTTTTTGTTTTTTGTTTTCTTTTTTTGTGACAGGGTCTCTCTATGTAGCCCTTGCCATCCTGGAACTCACTATGCTGATCAGGCTGGCATTAAACTCAGAGATTTACCTGCCTCTGCCCACTAAATGCTGAATTAGAGGTGTGCACCACCATGCCTGGTTTGACCTTGTTTTTTGAGCTAGGGTCTCTCACTGAACCTGGGGCTCACTGGTTTGACTACACTTTGCTATAGGGATCCACTTGCCTTTGCCCTTTCAGCAGGGGGGTCACAGACACCTGCTGCACTCAGTCTGTGGTTACTGGGGACCAGGACTCACTTGATCCTTGTGCTCGAGCAGCAGGCACATCACCAAGCCAGCCAGCTCCCCAGTCATTGCGGTGACTGTTTCCTTAAGAGGCTTCCCTGCCCACAGCCTGGAATGTGCCTGAGGAGTGAGGGTCACCTCAGGGCCCACCATAACCATGACCTCCCCCCACTCAGCCCCTGCCACTTCCCAGGGAGATCCTCTCATACACCAGGGAGTTAGAAAACAGGAGGCCAGACTTAGGCACCCCAAACTCCTGCACTGGCTAGTATTTTCCCCTGCTCTTTGTAGGGGACCCTGTGAGTGTGATCTCTAGGGACACTGCAGCCTCACCATTGTGTTATCAAAGTACCGTTAGGCATGGCTCCCGCTAGGCCTCTGTATCTGGCCAGCCTCTCTCCCTCCTGATTCCTAGTCCAAGCTCTTCCATGGCCTGTTATCTTACAGGGTGGGGTTCACGTCACCAACCAAAAAAAGACAAGCTCACTGAGAAAGAAAGGGCTGCCAGAGGCCTGACCTATTGACCCCACAATGCCTCACGTGATCTCCGGGTCCCTGAAGCCGTAAGTCTGGGTCATCTGGTCCTGCTGGAAACTAAGATCCCCACAGGCTGGGAGCACGGAGGCCAGGAACTTCTGCACCACCCCAGCACATGGTCGGCCATCACAGGCCTTAAGGACCTGGAAGCAGAGTTGATGTCTGTGAACAGCATGACCCCACCCTCCACTGTGGTTCTCCATTCCCAGGACAGCATTCTCTTCTGAGTCCTCTCTCCCTTGGGTCCTTCCACTTTGCAAACCTGTTTCCCTGCTCCCCGCTTCTCGCCTGCCCCAGAGCTCTGGGCCCTGTTTATGAGATGTGTGCTATGGATCATGCTCCTTCTGTTGTCTCTATGCCCAACCTCCCTGCCCTCCCCTGCCCAGCACTCTCTCACACACAGGCAGTCTCTCTCTCACGCACACGCACCCATGCACATACTCTGGTCCTGTAGTCTTCAGTGAAGACAATTCCATGGGCATCCAAGTCAAAGCCCAGCTGGATGATCCTGATCTCTCCCTGCTCCTGAAGCTCCTTCTGTCTCCACAGAGACGAGAGTGGAAAGAAAGACAGGGTAAGACCAGCTGAGCACTGATGAGCCCTGGGGCAGGGAGTCTGACTGCCAGTGGGGGTGGGAGTGGGATGTGGCGGTGTGGGGGTGGCAGGATGAGGACATCTACCGTGAAGGGAGATGCTCAGGTGTGACTATCAAGCAGCCTTTCCAACTAATCACCTACTTCTCACCTGTCAGCCTCATAAGTTGTCAAAGAATCAATAGAAACATTTTCTAAGACCAGACCCTTGTAGTCACTCCATTAAACAGCGATGGAGGTGGAATGCACACCTTTAGTCCAAGCACTCGGGAGGCAGAGGCAGGCAGATCTCTGTGAGTTCTCAGCCTGGTCTACAGAGCGAAATTTCAGGCCAACCAGAGCTACAAAGTGAGACCTTGTCTCAAGACAACAAAAAAATGTTTGCTAAACATTAAAAAGTTCACAAGATCATAGGAATTACCAGACAGATACAGTAAAATGAAAACAAGGAACTTAGAAACACCCAGAGGGAGTTTGCTGATCTGAGCAAATGTGCTCAGCACGAGGCCAAAAACAACTTGGCACACAGGAAGCAAAGCTCAGAATTATCAAAAGGGTCATTTTTAGCAGGGCGTTGGTGGTGCATGCCTTTAATCCCAGCACTCCGGAGGCAGAGGCAGAGGCATCTCTGTGAGTTGGAGACCAGCCTGGTCTACAGGAGCTAGTTCCAGGATAGCCTCCAAAGCCACAGAGAAAAAAAAAAAGAACATGTGGAATGACCATGTCACGCCCTAGCAAGACATACAACTACCGTTCACATGTGAAATCACCCTACCACACCATAGCAGGACACAAAACTTCACTAAGTCCAAAAGACTATCTTATTTAAAACAAAATACAATTATGCCAGTAAGGCTGAAATGTAAAAAGCCAGGATGAGAAACTACTAATAGGAAATGATAAAAGGCATAGCAGGCTTAGGGCTGGGGAGATGGCTCAGTGGGTAAGATTGCGCTACAGAGCCTGACAACCTGAGTGCAGTCCACATGGCAGGAGGAGAGAACTCTACCCCATGAGTAGACACGCACGCACGCACGCACGCATGCACGCATGCATGCACACACATACATCCATCCATACACAAGTACACAATAAGTAAATAAGTAATTTGGAAATAGGATATCACTCTGTAGCCCAAGCTGGCCTCAAACTCAGAGATCCACCTGCCTCTGCCTCCAGAATGCTGGGATTAAAGACATGTGCCACTATACATGGCCAAAAATAATGATAAAATAAAAAATAATCTTTTTTTAAATAGGTAAAGGTTTAAATACGCCCTAGGGTCATTAAAGGGTCATACACCTTTAATCCCAGCACCCAGGAGGCAGAGGCAGATGGATCTCTATGAGTTCAAGGATAACTTGATCTACATAGTGAGTTCCAGGTCTTCCAGGGCTGCACAGTGAGACCCTGTCTCAAAAACAAAGCAAAATAAAAAGTCCCAGTAAAGAATTTGAAACTGAGAAATGAAGTCAATGATGGAAGGCCTCGGTGACTGTGTGGATGGGTGCCCTACTACAGCTGAAGGACGCTATTAACCTGCCGTTGGGAGACACTCAGTGGGTAAGAATAGTTGCTGCTCCTGCAGAGCACCCAGGGATCTAGCACCCTCTCCTGGCCTCTATGGGTGCATACACATGTATGCACGCACACACGCATGCACGCACGCACATAACCACAAACAAATAATGTCTTTTCAAACAAATTATTAAACTGAGGGAGACTATAAACTCTTCAATATGATAACATAGGAGAGGCAAGAATATAGGCTGCGCAGTGCCTCCAGGGTCAAAGGTCAATGTCTACTTCATTTGAGTTCCAGAAGAATGGTAAAGAGATGTAAGCGCTGGTGACAGGGTTGGTGAGGTGACTCTGCTGCCAAGACTGCGGAGCCGAGCTTAACCGTCCCTTCCCCAAGAAGATTCCCTCCAGGTCTCCTGACCTCCATATATGTGTGTGCTCCACACACACCACACACAAATGCAAAAAAATAAAAGAGCCAATAGCAAACTAAAAAACCACAGAAGTATGTGAATCCAATCTTCATAAATTCACAGAACAAGGGAACAATCAGTGACAAAATAGAGTATTTCAGTTATAACCTCAGCTAGAGAGATTAGTAACTGAATGATATTTTTTTCAAATACACATATATAACATTTAGCAAAACAGGCCATGCATGGGGTCACTGTCATCTTGTGTATATTCTCTGGACACGAAGTTACATCAGCCAGAAAGACATGTGGCACAGCCCTTAGGAACCCTGGACAAAGGAGAGGGTCACAAACAAGGTGGGAAGACATTCCTAACAGATCACTGATGAAAATACAATTTGAAAGCTTAGACGAAATGCGTAATTCATCAAAAAAAAACATTTTTTTCAAAAGAAAGAGCAAACTGGAATAGGGCTCATAACATGGAAACCTACAAAAATGGATTCACTGTTGCTACAAACAACTTGGAATAACCTCAAAAAACATCCAGCTAATTCGACAGGAATTGAGTAAATACAGTGTCGGAGTCTGTTCTCCAGGCTGCTGAAGCTGGGTAATGAATCTCATCCCGCCTCGTGACTTTTACTCGTGTTCAAAGGGCCCAGAACCATCTGGGGGTGTCAGAACCAAGTGTCAGTACAGACGTCTGGCGCCCCCAACTCGGCCAACCACTCATCGCCAGTGGTCACTGGGAAGATGTGGGAGTGAACACTAGACTCATCTCTCCCCTCACGCACTCTCCTTCACGGGCCTCCACCTGTGAGCTAACCTTCTCCTGTCAGGGCGACCTGCCAGCTCCACCAACCTGATACCCGGCATTGGGGCAGATGCGGAGGGTCGGTGGCCCACTGGGGATATGACTGGGGGGGGGCGGGATGGGGGC